TCAAACATGCGCTTCGCAAAAACGTGGGGCCAGAGCACAGGATGAGGCGTAGCACGTCCTCTCTTGGTTGGCAACTTAATCCATTCAATTGGCGCGCAACCTTGCGGCCAGCCGAAAATCCTCTTGAGGTCGCGGAATAAATTCCCAGGGCTGTCAAGACAGCGGAGAGCGGCAACTCGACCCTCTACTCTGTCCTCTGAGAACGCCTCCGAGGGAGAGAACCTTCCACTAGTATTTCCCTAGAGAGATAAACTTAATCTTGTTTTTTTTGAACCACGGAAGTGTCATCAAATTCGTCGTTCATCATCTTAGGAAAAGAACAGCACGGCACCAATGTCGGAATATACAATCGCGCCAGTAGTATGTGCATTGAGACATAGAATCAACCGACGCGCATACGCACTCACGCCAGGCAAGCGAACACGCGCTACATAACATGATAACTGCGCTTGCTGCTGCCGTTGGTATGTTTTTTCCAGGCTGGCTGCGCGAGGGGGGGTCGATTTCAAGATGTTTCACGGCGATCGTGTCTGAGAACACATTCAATGCACAGCTGCCTCTAGAAATGTTGTCGGGTGCGCTGTTTGCGATATAACAACGGGGGGGGCAACGGGTGATTTGGCACACTCCCTATTCGGACCTCCACGGTAGCATGATTGAGCGACCGAGTGAGTCGATCGAACGAGCCCGAAAAAACAGAGGACGACGACGACGACGACGACGACGACGACGACGGCGACGACGACGACGACGACGACGACGACGCACACATCACCCAAGCCAGGAGTCAAGGGGAGGGCCGAAGGGGGGAGGAGGAGGAGCGAGGAGGAACGTAGAGGAGGCAGATTTGTTGTTTGTGCTTTTTGCTATCAAGCGCCTGCCACGAGCGCGGAGCCGTCTAGAGCCACCGCAACAACTTCGATCCACCAACTCGCGACTGCGACCAAGCAAACGTCCACTAAACTTCTTCGCGAATGGAGTGCCAATGTGCGCCACGTCATCGTCCCCATCATGATCCTGATCTTCCTCACCCCTGCCCCCTCATCGTAGTCTCCCCCCTCCCCGTTCCAGCCCTCCTCCTCATCGTTATCATTATCCTCGCCCTCGTCCTCCTCATCATCCTCGCCCCCGTCCTCGTCACCACCCTCCTCCTCATCGTCGTTCCCATCCGCTACCTCCTCCTCCTCCTCCTCGTGATCTCGCCCCTGGGGCGCGCGGGCACCGCGGCGCGGCAGGGCCGCGCTCGCACTTCTTGAAACAAGGCCAGCCGCTTGGAGCCATCCAACATTGCGCCCGCTCTGGGCGGGCAACACTGTCAACCCTGAGCACTGCATGCGGCCTCCAGGCCAAAGTCAAAACCGAGGGATCAGATCGCGCAACCCCTCACTCAACCTGTCACCACCGTCTTGCCGAACGCCGCCCAAACTCTGATACTCACTCTGCCGCCGCGACCGTCTTGTCGAACGCCGTCCAAACAGCCGCGCGGTCCTTCCACACCTGCGCCGTCTCCGTTTTGTAGTGGTTCTCGAGCTCCATCTTGATGGCCTTGTAGGTGTCCGCCTCGAGCTCCGCCGCGAGGCTCTTAGACAGGACACTGAGGCTCACGAAGTGGCCCCACCTCGCCGCATCCTTGTCATTGGCGGCCGAACCTGTGTAGAACACCGCAGCGAACACGAACCCGTATGGGATCCAAGCCACGCAGCCCGCAGGCATGGAGAAGACCGAGCAAGACTTCGAAGCCAGGAACTCGCAGCCAGCATCGGACTTGAGAAACCTGATCCGATACTCAAGGTGTCCCCTCTTCCTCCTCCTCCGCAACTCTCATCCCTCATCCCTTCCTCAGCCCTCCTCCTCCGTTCATTATCGTCGTCGTCGTCACGTCGTCGTCGTCGTCGTCGTCGTCGTCGTCGTCGTCGTCTTCATCATCCGCCTCCACGTCTATATATATATATATACGCAGATTTGGCCCCAAGTCAACCCTGGCATGTTGGAGATGATGATCCCGTTGTCCAGCAAGTGCTTGACGTTGTAGACCATGAAGATGATCGGCTCGCCCAGCGTCATCACGTAGCCGCCGACACCTGTCATGCTGAACGCCGCGGGCCCTCTGCGACAGGCGTCGCGGCGCAGCGTGACGAGGTTGGGCGTGTTGCCATCATGAAAGAGGGCGCCAGCGCTCGGAGGAAGGCTGTGGTCAATCTCGCTCACGTCGACGTTCAGGCGCGTGAGCGCGCCCGTCCACCTCGTCGTTGCCATCTGGGTGTCAAGAGACTTGGTCTTGTCCTGTAGGACCTCCTCGCATTTGTCTAAGATCGCCTTGCGCATCACCATGTGCTGCCTGTCGGGCTGCGACCAGACGCAGACCTCGTTAGTAATCATCTCCGCAGGGTTCACGTTGACCATATCGTTGAAGAGCTTGCCTACGGTCTCACCCGTGATGCCAGTGGCGCTGTTCTCGTGAATGATGTTGGCCATGGCCTTGGCCGTCTTCGGCGGGTAGCCGCCAGCAGTCAAGGCGGCGCATACCTTCGTTGGACCAGCGAGCTCCTCCCCCTCCTCGTCCTCCCCCCCATCATCACCATCCTCATCCTCCTCCCTGCTCATCCTCCTACCCCTACTCCTACTCCCACTGCTCCCCCATCCACCCTCATCGTCCAAGTCATCCTGTCTCCGCACGAAAGGAGACAGGGATGGGGGAGGGGGGGCTCGCTGGTCCATTCGACCTTACCCTTCTGGTGGCGCACGGCCAGGTACTGCGTGCGCGCGGCCTTCTTGACGCCACACTCGACCAAGCCGAACGTGGTGATCTTCTGGAGGGCCAGTTTCTCGAGCTCCTGGAATTCCTTCTGCAGGACCTGCACCCTCGACTTGACGTCCTCCTGGTCGCCCAGCTTCATGTCCTTCAGCGCCCCCTTGATCTCCAGAAGCTCCTGCTCCCGCTCGCCGAACCTCTTCAGGACATCCGTGCAGTCAGGGGCATCACTGTTCTCCCTGTGCTTGTCCTTCAGCGCCCTCAGCTTGCCTGCAGTAGACTTCGGGCCCGAATACTTCGCCGCCATGGCCACGCAGTCCTGCATGATCTCCTCCTTGGCCACTAGGAAGAGCGCCTCCGCGTTGTCCTTCTCGATATGATGCTTGGGGTCCTTCCTCTGCCTGGCCGCCCTCATCGACGCTGCGTCGTCAGGCTGCTTGCGCTTACTGCCAGACCACGTCGCGCACTCCATGGGCGACCTGCCCCGAGGGGTGCGCTCCACCAGACCCGAGGGAAGATCGCCGAGGCCAACGACTCGACCGTCGCTCAAGGGCGGGTTCGTAGCCCCACTGTTGCCACCAATGTCGCCGTCCTGGCTCAGCGTCACGATGCCTGTCCTGCGGTCGCGGCCAGTCTCCTTCATCTCGTACTTGTGGCCCTTGATGCGCTGGCACGGCTCGCCGTCGGAGTCGTAGTGCGGGGAGGTCTCCTGCAGCATGTCGAACTCCTCGCTGGCGTCATCCGAGGGGACCTTGTCCCAGAAGCCTCGGTAGGACTTGTAGTGCCTCTTGGAGTACATCTGGTTCTTCCTGCCCGTGCGCTCCTTATCGACCTGCATGTCCTCCGTCTGAGTCAGGCGCAGCTTCGCTTGCGTCTCAGCCCGCGCCTTGCCACGAGTCGAGGAGTCGGCCACACCGTTCGACTTGTACGGCATGACATCGCTACGCCACGCATCGGGGTCCCCATGCACCTTACTCGCGGAATCCTTGAGCGCCTTGGCATTGCCTTTCAGCTGCAAGCGGTGGGAGCGAACGGCGTTCCAGCAATCGGCCGAGAGCTGGACGCCTCGCCACTCCTTCGTGATAACCTCCTCCTGCTCACACAAGTAGCACGTCGCCATACTGTCCTGCAAGACGTTGCCGCCGTCTCCAGCGAGATCCCCGTCACGCGACCCAGCACTACGGGCCGAACTAGGCACAGACGCCATCGTTGAATTGACCAGACAAGCGATGCAATAATCAACTTGCAGTGAGTGACTGCTGAAGCTAACAACCTTGAGCCCAAATGGCAACTGACGAGACGACGTCGTGGCGAAATCATGTACGTAGCACCCCGCAATTGCGGATAAGAGTGAGGGGGCGGGCGGGCAGGCGTGGCGACAGCGACCGCCCACGCCGCGACCGCGCCGCGACCGCGCCACGACCCGCCCGCGCCGCGAATCGCTCGCGACCCACCCGCGCCGCGACCCACCCGCGAGACGACCCCACCAGCCACCAGCGACACCACCAACACAACGCCACCAGCCACACCACCAACCACACTACCAGCCACGCCACCAGCCACACCACCAGCCACACCACACTACCACACCACCACCACCAGCCACCAGCCACACCACCACCACCGCGCCACCAGCCACACCACCAGCCACACCACCAGCCACACCACACTACCACACCACCACCACCAGCAGCCACCAGCCACACCACCACCACCACGCCACCAGCCACACCACCAACCACACTACCAGCCACACCACCAGCCACACCACATCCCACACCACGCTATCACATCCCACCACCACCAGCCCACCACCACACCACCACCACCAACGCAGCCACCAGCCGTGAAGTCACACACGAACAG